AATCTTTTTTTTTTTTTCTTCAATACTTTAACTACCTCTGGGCCGGCCGTAGTAAAAAAACGGCCGGCCAGGAGCTCTCTCGATCTGAGCGGGCGTCTCTAGACGTCCGCTCCGACACGCCCCCTTGCGCGCGCCGCCAGGGGGAAATGGCCGAAATTTAAAAACGGGCAGCAATGCCCGTTAACATACATGCGATCCGCCGGCTGTAGAGCCGGACACCTGGTCTTGAAGTGGTTAATGTTTCGGTTTTGTTGCTGTTGGCAATATTGAATGTGGTTCTTGCCTTTTCTCCTTTTAAAATATGTGACTGCTGATCAATTGGATTTATTGCTTAGTATGGTGTGGCCAGCTTTTGTTTGCTACAGACAATGAAATCCGAATCAAAGCTTTAGTGTTTGTTAATACTATTTGTTTTAAACAATGTAAATATACACAGGTATTGTTAAAAGTCTTATGTAATTACTTTTTTAAATGTTTACCTACATCAGAGGCCTAAAGCGTCTACTAAGCACGGCAGAACTGTTGTCAGCATTGTGCAATGTTAGGCAGCTGTTACAGGAGCAAAATCACATTCTTGGTCTCAATTGACTCAGCATATTATAGAGCAGTGGTTCTCAACCTGTGTAACACCTCGCACGCCATGAATTTGCGGTAGGTGCAATTTTGTAGTACAGGGAGTCAGTTGCACAGGACTGCGTGGTTAATGCACTGTACCCTTTTTTTTTTTTCTTTTTTAAGATGCACCCAGTCTCCCTATCATACGAGAACTGAAGTGGATCTTCAGCCTGGGGTCCAGTGTGGGCTGTTGATGGAGCTCCATCCATATGTGCATTGCTGGTACAGCTGCTTTGTGTGCCCTGTAGAGGTGCTGGCAGCCAGAATGTGATGTCATTCAAGTCCAGGCACCTCTACAGGGCACAAGAGGGAGCTGTAAGCAATGTATAACTTGATGGAGCTCCCTCACTGCCATACCCCCATCCCAACACACCTCAAGCGGACACTCGGCGCCGGATAGCATATTTTGAATGGCTGCTTGGTGCAAAAACTGACAGTGCTGCACTAGGGGGAGGCTGAGGAGCCTCTCACCTAGAAAAGTGGAAGGCATGCGGTGACCCACTGAACACTGGGTCGCGACCCACTTTTGGGTCACGACCCACCAGTTGAGAACCAAGGTTATAGAGGACCTCTTGATATACTTACTCTAATCTAGCTAGAACGGCCCCATTATGCTGGTGGTCAGTGGGAGAAGAGCCCCATTACACTAGTGGTCAGTGGGAGAAGGGCCCTTTTACACTGGTGGTCAGTGGGAGAAGGGCCCCTTTACACTGTTGGTCAGTGGGAGAAGGGCCTCATTTACACTGGTGGTCAGTGGCAAAAGGGCCTCATTTACACTGGTGGTCAGTGGAAAAAGTGCCTCATTTACGCTGGTGGTCAGTGGGAGAACGGCACCACTACATTGGTAATGGATGCGAAGAATCCTCCTTAAGGTGCCCATACAACGAATATCGGCTGATTTTCATTTTCGTCCAATATTCGCAAGGTTGATCAGCAGTGTACGACCGCAAATACTGTACAATCGTACGACTTTTGACTTTCCAGCAGGCTAGAAAACTTCTGTCTATTCATACGAAATTTGCAAGGTTGGTGACGTTTTCGTATGTCAAAAATTGCACCATTAACACTGCTCATGCGCAAACGAAAATCCGTGCCATCAATTAATGAAATTCGGCCAGGTGATTTTGCTGATGACCGCTAATTGAACTGTGCGATGGTCGGTGCATGATGGGTTCGATCATCGGATGAAAATATTCATCCGATGATGGCAAGGTGTATGGCCAGCTTTACATTGTGGTCATTGCGAAGAATATCATTGTGGTCAGTGGTAACTTATCTGAGAAGTAGAAACTGCCCATTGCCCAAGGAACACCTTGCAACCTCTAGAGGAACACTAGTGTTACACGGAAACCTGGTTGAAAAAGACAGCTCTAAAGCAAGAGAAAGGGCCCCCAAAGGAGACTAACCCAGTGAGGAATTATTACCATGGGGAAGTCAAACTGTAAAGAAAATAAGACTATAGCCAAAATAGTAATTATTTGCTAAAAGTAGATCAGTAACACACACCCAGTTCTTGTCTTAGTTGTAGTTTAAAAAAAAATGTAGGCAAAAAAGTATTACTTTTGGACTCTTTTGACATTTGTGACTGAACATTTCTTTTTGCTGTTATAATTGGCAATTCAACCTCAGCCATGTAATTGGAAAGAAGGCATTGGCAGAGATTACCCTCAGTAAAAACTGCATGTTAAAATGATCAGTGAATCCAAAAAAAGCCAAAGTTATTTGCAAATCCTAGATTACCTTACAACATTTGGACTTTACCCCTGAACCTTACTGTTGGTCAGCAAGGTCAACCATCATATTAAAGGATCAATATAGAGGCTCAACAGACTGTAGTAGAAAGTTGGCACGAAGCCACAAGTATAAAAAATGCAGACCTTTATTTTATCTCCTGGTTTGACCATTTTGGATGTTTGCGATAAATTCGGGGCTTGTGAGAGAACCTAACGTAATTATGAGTCAAATGTTTTGGGGGCTGCACAAATTGCCAAAAGTATTGGGACGCCTGCGTTTACATGCACATGAACTTTAATGGCATCCCAGTCTTAGTCCGTAGGGTTCAATATTGAGTTGGCCCACCCTTTGCAGCTATAACAGCTTCAACTCTTTTGGGAAGGCTGTCCGCAAGGTTTAGGAGTGTGCCTAGGGGAATGTTTGACCATTCTTCCAGAAGCACATTTGTGAGGTCAGGTACTGATGTTGGACGAGAAGGCCTGGCTCGCAGTCTCCGCTCTAATTCATCCCAAAGGTGTTCTATCGGGTTGAGGTTAGGACTCTGTGCAGGCCAGTCAGGTTCCTCCACCCCAAACTCGCTCATCCATGTCTTTATGGACCTTGCTTTGTACACCGGTGCACAGTCATGTTGGAACAGGAAGGGGCCATCCCCAAACTGTTCCCACAAAGTTGGGAGCATGAAATTGTCCAAAATGCCTTGGTATGCTGATGCCTTAAGAGTTTCCTTCACCGGAACTAAGGGGCCAAGCCCAACCCCTGAAAAACAACCCCACACCATAATCCCCCCTCCACCAAACTTTACACTTGGCACAATGCAGTCAGGCAAGTACCGTTCTCCTTGCCACTGCCAAACTTAGACACGTCCAACAGATTGCCAGACAGAGAAACATGTTTTGTCACTCCAGAGAACACATCTCCACTTCTTCAGGGGAGACGTGCTCTACACCACTTGATTCCGACGCTTTGCATTGCACTTGGTGATGTAAGGCTTGGATGCAGCTGCTCTGCCAAGGAAACCCATTCCATGAAGCTCTCTACGCACTGTTGTTGTGCCAATCTGAAGGCCACACAAAGTTTGGAGCTCTGTAGCCACGTGGCTGAGTTGCTGTTTTTCCCAGTTGCTTCCACTTTGTTATAATACCACTAACAGTTGACTGCAGAATATTTAGTAGCAAGGAAATCTCACAGATGGACTTATTGCACAGGTGGCAGCCTATCACAGTACCACGCTTGAATTCACTGAGCTCCTAAGAGCAACACATCCTTTTTACAAATGTTTGTGGAAGCAGGCTGCATGCCTAGGTGCTTGATTTTATACACCTGTGGCCATGGAGGTGATTGGAACACCTAAATCCAATGATTTGGAGGGGTGTCCCAATACTTTTGGCAATATAGTGTAGTTCAAGCCCAAATGAAAGGGGAATGTGTGGCTTGTTGTAACTCTTATTAGAATATACCTTTTCTTTTCTCTGGAACCTGTAAAAGTATAGAAAACCAGCTGCTCCTAATAGTAATTGTATAATGTCAAACTGATGTCTTTTAAAAGTATAAAACCAACCACGGGAACAGTAATTAGAAAACATTCTTGTTTTAATGCCATCATCCAGTATCCATATGTTTTGTTCTTTTTTGAAAGCTTATTTGACTTTGATGTATATCTTCCAGTAATTATTGTACCTGCTTAACTTTTAGATTGACTGAAAAAAGTGAAGATGAAGTTCTTTGGCATCTGTCTGCTTCTCACAGGTATCTTCTGCCAGTGGCTTGTCCAAGCAGAGTTTTTCACATCTATTGGTAAGTGTTTATTTATGTAGCACAGTAGGATGGTTAGAGCCACAAAGGACACGTGATAAACAACTACTAAAATCCATATTTGTTTTTCTCTCAATGTCCAGTGATATTTTATTTATAGGTGGAGCGTTACAGGTTGCATAATTTCTTGGCATCTTATATGTCCTGGATACAGTAAAGGTGCCCATACACATTACGATAATCGTATGCGATCGACTTTTCGTACGACAATCGTAACGTGTGAATAGAGTACCCGACCGATAGTACTGTACAATCGTACGACTTTTGACGGTCAAGCATGTTTGAAAACTTTGGTCGATCGTACGATGTTCGCATGATTGGCGGCGTTTCCGTCCGTCAAAAGTCGTACGATTAACACTACACATGCGCAAACGAAAATAATTGCGGCCAATTACCGCAAGTCGTCCCAGGTGTTTTTTTTTTTAACTACCGCTGATTGAACCTTTCGATAATCGGGGCAGGATGGGGCCATTGTACGAAAATCATACGACGATTCGATCATCGGACGAAAAGTTTTGTACGATAATCGTAAGGTGTATGGGCACCTTAAGAGTGAGATTGGCCTGCTATGTTTCTGTTCCTTGGAGTTTTGGTTGCTCCTTTCAACCTTTTGAGGGTTACAGCACTTCTTGTTGTATTCATCATTCAGAATCTTGGCACCCTGCCAGTCTTCTAATGTAAACACACAGCAGGTGCTTTTAAGTTGTTATAAACTGACTGAAACTGACTTCAGAGTCTTTGTTGTGATATGCGAGGATTGTTGAGAATAAATTACTTCATAGTACATGCAACTACAAAGGTTACTAAGATCTGGTTTTAAGGCCATTTTGGCCCCCGTTCACATCAAGGGTGGTTAGGCCGTGCGGATTTGGCCGCGTGGATCCGCCAACGTGAACGATCCCATACACATTGCTATCGGGACTGTTCATGGGACCGCACGCCTCAGTGGGATCTGTGGGTGTCAGCTCAGTCTCCATGTTGGGGGGTGCACGATTAAGTGTGCTCCCAGCACAAAAACATGCCAAATATTAGTGGAGCCTCATAAGAAAGCCCACTTCCTCCATGACCCCGCATATATGTGTTCCGTCAATGGGAAGGGGTTAAGCTACCCACACTCATTACAGTCTGTTTGCACAAATCTCCTTTTCGATTTACCAACAGCAGCAGAATACAATGGTTTACTTGATTTATATAAATCTAATGTTTGGGAAGACTTCACATTCCATCCAGTAGCTGTTGGTGAACCTACAGGGACTAGTACAGATATTGTGCAATCAGTTTGTAACATGTAAGGTCAGCAGACCTGAGAACAGTCCATCAAGAAAGTACATAAGAAAGCGCTTGGTATCAGCAAATATTGAAGCTGGTTTCCATTCATGTAATTACTTTGTACTGTGTTGCAGTCAAAACATTTTACAAATACACATTTTGTTCTTTTCTTGTTAGTGCTGTTCAGGTCTTTGAGATGAGAAAAGAGCCAACTATATGCTGAGTTAAGAAACCTCAGCTTGAACATTCATTTAATTAATAAATGCAATTGTTCAGAAAAGCCAACAAAAAAAAAAAGCCAATGACAAACTTTGAGTAGACAGCCTTAAAAATACCCAGCCTCTACTAACTGGATGAAGTGACATGATGTGCTGCTCTGTTCAGGCACTAATAGCGAAGATAAATAAATACATGTTTCTTCTGGGTATGGGGTGGATATGACTCCTCTCATTCCCACATGATTGCACTGTGGCTTGGATATTGGATCTCAGGCATCAACGTCATTACATGGAGGTGGACAGAGAATCTTTAATGTTATGTAAGCTGGCGCTTTTACAGGAATGTTTCTCCTCGCTAAGAATAAGCTTCTGCAGAGACCAGCTTTAAAGCTCAACTCCATTCAAAAACTCCCTACCATCCCTTCCACCCCTCTCTAACTTATTCTGCCAGGTTACTGTGTGGTATAATCAAATTATACCACACAGTAACCTTCGCCGGCCAGTCCTCTTGACTCCACTCAGGCCATCGTCAGTAGTCTTTTCTCTTGAGAGAACCTGTCTGGTGGACAGCCAATGGAAATTGTCCACATCACACAGGCAGTGACATGGACACCCGGAAGGTGGGGAGAATGATTGATTATTGGCGGAGGTAACTTGAAACCAATCTGTAGTTGGGCTTTAAAGTGTATAATATAAAGCTAACCAAACAAGCATCAGTGTTGCATCAATTTCATGTTTGATTTCAATGTGAATTCATTAACGTGTTTGTTGTGTTTTTTATGGTATGCTACACACGTGATTATAAAGTGACCCTTTGTAAGGGTCACGTAAAGGTCACGTTTCCTCAATTACATTCTTTAAAAGAAGAGGTAATACACTTTCCTTTTCCTCAGCCTGTTTATTGAAATGTCACCTCTTCTCCCACAGCCTAATTGTATATGTACAATACGTATTGTCATAGCAGACCTGTCACTCCTAAGTAGGGTCCGCTTATTTACTCAAGCCCACATGCCCTAAAATTCACAGCAAATAAGCAGACATTTTTCAGTGCAAGGTTTTCTTCAGGTTTATTTGTACTGCACATGCGTTTTTATTGTAGCATACAAGATCTATCATTTTAGTTATTTTGAAAAATGTAAATACCTGATTTTTTTGGTCCACAATTGTAGAATTGCCTAAACGAAAACTAACATTATTTATTTATGCTTCAGGTCAAATGACAGACTTGATAGACAAAGAAAGAGATCTTGTACAGTCTCTGAAAGAATACATTCGGGAAGAAGAAGAACGGCTGGGAAAAATCAAAAGGTAGAAGAGAAACACCGTTCCTGGTCATAGTCTGCGAGCTGTGCTGATATTGTTTTATCTGTTTTAAAGAGCATCTGGTGTTTACATTTTGTTGCTTTTAAAATGTAAATCAACTGTAAATCAAAACTAAATTGCCTTTTATCCCAGCTGAGACCAAGAAAGACAGTACACACTTTGCACAGTCTGACATCAGTAACTGGTAATTGCCTGCTGATCACTAGGCAGACATTTCAGTGATTCAGAATAATGGCAGATCTTGTATAACCACTTATTTGGATTATCCCATGCATCGGTTTTTGTTGGTTTGATCCTTGTGAATCATGCTTCTGTTTTAGTTTCAGAACTGTAATTTTCATCTGTGCATACATTTTGCTGCCCATACCACAAAGGATAAAATTAATGCTCCATAGTTAAATTGCAGATATAGAAACTTTAGGCTCCTCTCAAATGGGTGGTTCGATCATTTCCGCCTGTCAGTTTTTCAGGGGGATCTGATTGGAAGTTGTAGAATGTGCTCTGATTTGGGGGTGCCCTTCAATTACTGATGAACATCCGAATCTTAAATAAGTGTTGGGTTTATTTACAAATAGGGATATACATAAATATTACAATTAAGGGAATTTGAAAGGGGAATTGGGTATAGGAGTTAGGGTTAAGGATCCTACAGCTAGCTACATCATTCTCTCTCTCTCATTCACACCAGCCATGGGTTTTTCTCTGTTCTTCGGACACGCCTCTCCAGCAGGTCTCAGCGAATCACATTCTTGATTGCAGAGTTCAGAAAGACTTGTCTTGTCCAAAGGTCTTGCTGGTCAGCTAGATTAGTGTCACACAGGAAGAAGGTTCCATCAGATGCCCCTGCCCCCATCCCAGCATACATGCCTTGCTGACACAGGTGTGGGCAGTAAATACCAGCAGGGGGTTGGGCTTGCCCCAGGACATGACAGTCCAGCAGATCTCCTTTGATCAGTGTCCAGCCCCAAGAACCCTTTGATGGTCTTCATTCGCACAAAAACAGCACGGGCAGCTCACAATATTAAGGAACCTTTCCATCAAAGATGTATCATAGATGTCAATTATTTTAACTTCCAACAGAAGTCTAATGTTAATCTATGGGCAGGCGGATCTAAACGGACATGCCAAAAAACATCTTTCTCTGCCTCCTCACAGTTTTTGTATTATGTGCAGAGGACTTGCATCACATATGTAGTACAGTGTACACTCTCATCTTATTCATGCTATCTATAAGATGGAGCCGGATGCCAGGATAATGTAACTCCTGCCATGGAGTTACATCCATGGCTGCCTAATGGCAGAGCCAGAATGCTTAAAGGAGAACTATGGGGTCAGTGTTTTTCCCCATAGTTCTCCTTAGGGTAACGGGAGGACACAAACTAGCGTCCTCCCGTTACCCTAACCTCAGTATACCGCGAGCTACAGCTCGCGGTATACTGAGACGCCGCAGCCGGAGCGGATCACGACTTAGATGACGGGATCCGCCCAGCTGCGTGAGTGACAGCTGGCTCTGCCTATCTAGAGGCAGAGCCAGCTGTACCCACCCCCTCCCCCGTCCGTTCCGCCAGTCAGCGCTGGCAGATCGGAGCGGGGAGAGGGGAATCCAGCCCCTCCCCCTGTCACGGCAGAGAGCCGTGACAGGATCGAGAGGCGAGCGAACCCGGTATGTGTTCGCTCACCTCCCGATCTACTGAGCCGACCTGTGACAGTCTCATTGTCACAGGTCGGCTAGAACTATGAGGTGAGTGAAAAGCACTCACCTCATAGTTCTCCTTTAAGACCTGGGAGAAGACTGACCGAAGATGGCAATGATCTCATTAAAGAGGAGCACAGATGTCACATCACTGGAGGAGGAAATACTGAAAGGAAAGTCTGCCATAATGTGCAATAATGTGTATACTTGCATGTTGTGACAAGGACCAGCTCACCACATTAGTAACAAATTTATGCTTTAAGAGGTTCTAGGCATATAAGGCATGATAACAAGAAAAAAACAGTTAAACAAGAGGCAGACAGCTTTATGAACTGAGCATTTGGTGGTTCAAGCCACCAAAATGGCACATATAGGCAGAGTGACATTTTCATTTATGTGTTCAATTTTTGGTGTTTACAGCTGGGCCTCCCAAGTAGAAGATCTTTTGAGTAAATCTACTCTTGATCCAGAGGGATTTCTTGCTCATCCTGTGAATGCCTACAAACTGGTGAAGAGGCTCAATACAGGTTGGCTTTCTCTGGAGAACTTGGTGCTTCAAGATGTGTCAAAAGGTAACTCAGGAAATTTGTCTGTATAATTTATGACTTGTATTAGAATAACCCTATACTTGGATGCTATCATAAAACAACGCTAGCAGTTTTGGTGCCAATGGTAAAGACTAGGATCAGAAAGGATTAACAACATTTCTTGGAGAAAATGTTGCTCTAGGCTAGACACAATTGAAATGGCCTAAGTTCTTGGCCACATGATCACTGCTGAAGAAGAGGATCTGACAGTTTGGGCTGTGATCCTTCCCTTTAGTGGAGATCATGCGACTGAAATCCTAAGGTGTCTAGCACTTGTGTCTAGCACTGGAGGAAGCTGCATCATCCACATAGGGTAGATTTTACTGTCTTATTACTCTATGTATTCACCCAGAAACACGGTTAACATTTTCCTAATAGCAGTTTGTCCTGACCCTGAGCCAGTATTAGTGGTAGTGCTTGGCTTTGAGTTTTGACTGTTGCCACTAATAACCCTTTTGTACGGTTAGTAGTATGTAAGGATTACTTTTTATTTAGAAAGGCCACAATTCTTTAGAACTCGGGAGCGTAAGAGATGTAATTTTCTACCATTTAGCAGCAAAATGCCATACCTTGTTTATTTTGTTTTCTTTTAAATATTTATATGAACCTGTAGAAAATCACCATTTGGTACCACATACTACCTCTAGATTGGAAGGCCGCCACCTTACTGCAGCACTGGAACTACCATCCCTCTCAGAGTATTCTTACGCTCACACAATTTTATAATTCAGTGACACAGTGCCTGTGTAGCCTATCTGCAGACCCTAGCTGGTAGGTGCTAAAGATGTAGCACCAGTAAAGCTGACCTCCACTAGACACCTATGTAAAATGTCAGCTTTTAATGATGCCAATTGTTATACAGAAAATTCTCTTTATTTAAAACATGGAGCTTAGATACAACACATAATTAAAGGTCAGTGCGGTAGATACAGATAATGTTTTGTATTACAGTAGGTATAATAAAGAAATTACATTGTTGAATACAAGTATGATAGCATTGAAAGCTGTCTACAATCTTTGACGGTAGTTCAATGACCCTGTCATGCAAATGCCTCTCACAACTTCTAGCTAGTAAATGCATTATTGTGATGCTAGCGAGGGACACAGACAATCATTCATGAGTGTGAACTAGAAATAAACACCCCGGTGCCCTAGGCTCATTGGCAAGGGTTTCCTCAGCCACACTACTGGAATAGACTGCTGCAGACATTTTAGACTTGTCCTGATTATGCATTCAAACAATTCATAATTTTCTCTGTCTTAAGAAAGCTAGTATTCAGAGTAACAGGGGATTAGAGAGTGCTCACTGTGGTTACAAAATATCTAAATGATGAATTACAGTTACATTATGTTACTATATCTGTACTACAAATGACACCCCTAGAAAATTATGCTAGAAATGCTTTAAAGGTAACCTCTACTGAGGAAAAATAGATTCCAATTGCTGGCACTTGCTGAAAAATACTAGTTTCTTGGCTTTGTGTGGCCTAACCTCTAACAAATATAAGGAGAATCAATCTGAAGCGCATTTCTGGGTCAGTGACTGAGAACGTTTTGAAGCCACTGGATCAGCATGACAGCCAGACAACTAGAAGAGGATTAGCCAGCAGCAGCAGACTATATATCGTTCTCTGAGCACTGGTTTCTTTTACTTTGTCCTGAAATTAAAAGGCCAGTAATTGAATTCAATTATCTGTGAAAATTGTATTTGGATGGCTCAGACAGAACTTTTCCAGTAAGATAAATGAAATAGTCTCCTGAGGTTGTGTGCTATACAAGCTAAGCTATGCACGTTTTATCTGCTGTTGGCTGACACTGCATGTAGTTTTTCGGTGAGGCACTGATGACTTTCACATAAGTGCAGAACATGTTTTCCCTGCAGCCCCAGCTTGTTTTCAAGTAATGAAGTACTGTAACCCGCCCAGACATTTCACATGTTCTGTGTAGAGTTGGCTGGAAACTTTGCTTCTCTGCCATGCCTTACCACAAGAATAATTCCTGACCTTCTTGTCCTGCTTTAATATTCTGCCGCTAGTGTAATGAAAGTTGATCTCCTAAACTTGGAACACTGCACCTGGTTCAAATGCAACATTAATTGGATCCCTACATAATCTTGACACTTTTTACAGGCTTGAAAATCATACTACTTTACTGCTTCAGCCCTAAATCAGAAAAACTGTATAAAGTGAACTGCACAAATGGATATCTCAACCTAGAGTACAATATTTGAAGCAAAACTGCAAAGGCTTGTTTTTGGTTTCTGATAAATATGAGATTCCTGGGCTTTCAATAAAACAACCCAGCAGTAGCTGCTCTCTTTTGGGCTGTCTCTCTCTAACTCATACCTCTATGGACTAGTGACCAGGACTAGTGCATGGAAGGTCAGAATTGCAGAAAACTTCTTGCCAGCAGACTAAAGCACTGTCTGCTACATGAATATGTTAAATATTAAATAGGTGCATTATTCCATACTTAGCAGGCTGAAAAGAAATCAAATATACATTTTATTAATCACTGAATAATTACTGAACATAATAAATATAGATAATATCTACATTCCTTTAAAGGCTTGCTTTAGAAAAGCGGGGAGGGAACATCTTTGGTCGTCATAAGTGCAGAGACAGTTCTGTTCTATTTTGTTTAGAAATTAATGTTAATTCATGAATCTGCATTTTACACAGCAACTAGTGCTTCTCTTTAAAATCCATCATAAAAGGCTTTGAGGCACCCCAAAATGCATGCTTTTTTTAAAAGTATCAATGTAAATGGACCCTATTGCATGTTTGTTTAGTAAAGAGATTCTGTAGCTATAAGATAAGAAAGTAACCAGAAAACCCCAGAGAAGACTCTTATACTCGTCTGTCCTACTTCCCATTTCTAGGATCTCTACTCTGTTCAAGAGCTAATGGCTCCATCAGAATCTCCATACCCAACATTTCTAGATGTGTTGGAAGTCTGTGTGCCCTGCCACATGCAGTGGTTTCTTCTGATATCCCCTTAATCACAGCCAGTAGATGGCTGTGCCCTGAAGGAACCAAAGCTCTGCAAGAGAGCAAAATTGGAATAATGGGACAGCTGAATACATTTTTTGCAGGTTTTTTTTTTACATTGTACAGTGGCGTATTGGTTAGTACTTTGACCCTATTCGCAGTTCTAGGGTGTTTTTTGTTTTGTTTTAATTCAAGACCACTTTATTGGGACAAAGTGCACATTACAGGTTACACAAAACCATTAGATTACATGAGAAAACCAGTATGAACCAGATAACAAGAAGGATTGCATTATGAACACCAGATTTGTAATCGTAGCCAAAAATAGACAAAATTACCTTTTTAGTTATAGTCTCTGTAGGTAATTGGTGTCGAGTGTGATGATAAGGACCAACACTTTTAAACCCTGGCCACTAATTTCCACTTTTCGATTAAAACCATTTTAATTCCTGTGTAATGGAAAAAAAAAGAGTTGTGGCCAGTGAATAATGTGTAAGTAACCATTTTTGATAGGCCAATTTCAGAATGTGTGAGAACTGCTGGTGGTAATCACCTGATTTCCCCCAAGCCCCCCCTGATCTGTGAGTGGTATTCACTTGATCCCTCCCTCTATTCTGATCTGTGGGTGATGATCACCTCAACCCTCCCTCGGGTCTCTGTTTATTTATTTAAATTCTCCTAGATGTTTTTAGTACGTACCTTCTATTGACATTTTCATTGTGAACATTGTTATAATATAGTGCTCACTTAATATAATTATTATAATGAAAGTCGTCTCTTGTAATTTGAAAACCTTCAGCAAATTCTCTATTCTTCATTTTGAATGCAAAGATAACTTGGCTCCAGGGTTTACACAAACCAAAATCCTTGTTTGGTGGGTCTGGTGTAAACCAGAGAAAAGTGAAGTTATAGGCAATGGTAACTACTTTGACTTTTTAATTTTTTGAGTTAATTTTATGGTATTTTTTCTAGATCCGATAAGTCACCTTCTTGTTTAATGATGGTTTTAAAACATGGCTATGTTAAATAATGCACACGAAAAATATCTTCCCAAACCACTCTTGAGATACCTATGGATAGTGTTGTCCAAATCAGCCAATTTTGGCTGCTTCAGGCAACAGTTTGAATATGTTTATTGCCTACATCCCAGGGTTTAGGAAGGAGTTGATTGACTGAGTTGAGTTTTCCCAGCTAAGTAATTATTTTCTGTCGGGATGAGATTGACACTTGGCATGTCTTCTCAGTGAATACATATACATGCTCAGGCATTACAAAAATGCATGTTTATGCACCAGTAGTTTAATAAAAATGATCTAATCTGGTAGCTTTTAACTTTCTGTAAAGCAACGGGGAATGTGTATATATCTTTGTATATTTCAAACACTTACTCCCCCACATTTCACTACTTTTGACTCCAGAATGATGTCCGTTTTTAAAGGAACACCTGCCAAGCAAATAGCTGAACGCATTTGCTCAAGTTAAGTGCTCATTAAGGCTCTTCCTGTTACTGATTTAGTTTAACTTCAAGATATAAATCGTGTTGTCCAAATAAATATATTAAGATTTGTGCAGCTGTCTGTGTAAATCTCTAGACATGATTAAATGTAAATGTTTGCTTTCACCCGCCAGATTAGTCTTAGCAGTTTTAAAGGATTTGCTAACTTGAAACTTACAGATTTTTCTTTTTGTCCATTTATATATGTTTAGGTTGTCTCAATTTTTTCACCGCCCCTTTAAATCCTTCATTCTGCAGTTCTTCAACCAGCTACTATTCACTTATCAAGTACATTGTATGTGTGCCCAACAGCAAACAATCCTATTACATCTCTTTATTTACTGAAGTCACTGATTGGTTGCTTTTGTTGTAGTTCTTGTATATTAATTTGGTTGTCTTTCATCTTCTCTGTAGCATTTTTTTCTGTGCAGTTTGCTTCTCAGCAGGTTTGGAGGGTTAATATTTGCCATGCCTTGTCCTCATTGCTATGTATAACAAGTTGAAAATAGTTTTTAGTACTCTGCTGCTAGACATCCAGATTTAATATTTTAAAGATGGTGATGAGATTTTATGTCATTTGAGGTTTACTCTACGTTTTCACATACTTACTGTGGTAAAAAAAAAAAAAAAGGTTACATGACATCATTCAAGCATTAAGCTCTTTGGCGGTGTTCCAAGAATGGGTTCCAAATCTGTTTCTCTTTCCTGTTCTCCAAGCAGGTTCAGAGTCTACTATATCTGTAACTATGTCTTTGAACATACTCCACTTGGAGAGACAGCCACGTTGTGCATAAGTGACTCATCAGTGTGTGTCTGTTGGCTTTTAGGCTTTATTGCAAACCTCACTTTTCAAAGGGAATTCTTTCCAAGTGAAGAAGATGAGACTGGAGCAGCCAAAGCATTAATGCGTCTCCAAGACACTTACAAACTGGATCCTTATGTTATAGCAAAAGGAATATTGCCAGGTTAGTGCAACCCTTGTTTCCCCACATAATGTTTTACACATATGTCCCAATTTAGGCTTGCATACTACAAAATCTGTCTTAAAGCTGAATTCCAACAAAAATCTAAATACACGGCTACCTACATTTAGGTTGTTTTCTCTGCAAAAGTATTTATGGTACTGTACTAAATACTGAAGTTTTCACCTGGAATTTAACTTTTAAAAGACCACTAACCCTTTCAAGTATCAAATGCAGACACATGGCAGGTTAAATCACTGTGCCTTGTACTGGGTCTTGTGACAATACTAAGATCTGACGAGCCCCAAAATGTGTGTAAAGAGAATGGGGAAGTCATACAGAACACTGTGCCACCCTTATTTTTCCAAAATCCGCAAGTCAGTAGCAAAAACGGTTAGATTTAAATCTCATATCTGGCTAGGCATTCATGGGAGGTGACACCATTGATGGAATGCAGGCCAACTTAAAACATATTTTACACAAAGCAGAGAAAGTCAGATGAAATGCAGACATGTAATAAACCTTTACTTGTGGGGTCTGCAAAAGCCTCTTCATAAATCCTGCCATAAACGGACTGTTGTAAATACAGCATATTGGCAGCTTAAAGCAATATACAACCGGAGTCTGTTTTTATTTTTTCTTTTTGAACTAACAGAGCCAACGTTTATAGATGATCTATAATTACTGCTGTAAAAGTTACCTTCATAAAAAAGTGATTACACAAATGGATAAGAAGATACCAGTCAGGTAGATACCCAACATGCCTATACCAGAACACTAATAAAACAAATTAAATCTCCTACATGAGACGTAGATAGTAACTTTATCATATTTTGTACCTAACAAACTGTAATTTAGTTCTGCCAAATAATATGCTGGTTGTTGAAACCTTGTCAGCTGGAAATATAGGTGTGCCCAGTAAGGGTATGTCTGTTGGAGCATTATAAGCACACCCCTTGAACCCTTTGATTGGCTTTCTGTAAGCTCTCTCCAGAGACAAGAAAACATGGCTGCATTTACAGCTCTTATTTAACATTGAAACCATAACGGATAATTATACCGTCACTGTTCCAAACGGCTTTGCAGATTAGGAGAGTTGAGAAAAAGTCACAAATTCCTATCTGCTATTCATATCACGAACTCATGCAAAAGGGGTCAGCATGAAAGTCAGGTTGCTATTTTTTTCTTCAGAAGAAGCGATAAAATTAAAGCCTCCATATTTTTCTTATGACAGATTTCTTTGTCTGTTTTGTCCCAAGGGTATATTTTGTTTTGAGGGCTTCCTCACACCATCTCCAGACTGGCGCATTTTTTATCCAGACCAAAAGCGTATATACAGTAATTCCAATGGTTTTAAATGAGGCTAGTTCACACTATTGCATTCAGTTCCAGAGAATTTAAAAGAAATACAGCAGCAAGCCTTTTTGTCACACTGAAATGTGCAAAAACACATGTGAATGCACCTGGACATGCTTAAAACCAATAAAAAAAAGAAAAATGCATTGGCATGCATCAAACATGCGTTAGAACGCGTATACAGTAAATACATGTGCAGAAACGTATCCAGAAGCGCCTGGAGATGATATGGACAAGCCCAGAATTGCAACTTTTAAACATGCAACAGTGTCTTTTTTTGTGTGTGGTTTGGTATACGTGGCCACGCACAGCTGCTTTGTTTAGAGTAATAATTGCTTTTTTTTCAGCTTTGTAGTTGAACACATACCAACATAAAGGAAACGCAGTGCAAATGCGTAATCTAGACCATGCTTTACATGAGGCGCTTATATACATTTGCTCAAAAGCAGTGTTCAAGGAAATTTCTTTAAAAGCTTGCCAATCCTGCACTCATAATCATAAATCCAAGTTATTTATTGTGTCTGCTTTTGATATTCTTCACATTTTATATTCTAGGAACAAAATATGTTTCATCTTTATCTGTGGATGATTGCTTTGGTATGGGAAAAATAGCCTACCATGAGAGTGACTATTATCATACTGTGCTATGGATGCAAGAAGCTCTAAAATTGCTGGAAGAAGGGGAAGAATCGACCACCATTTCTAAAGTGGATGTTCTAGACTACCTCAGTTACACAGTCTTTCAGCTCGGTGACATCTCCAGAGCAGTGGAGCTTACAAGAAAATTGTTACTGCTGGGTAAGTAAAAGAACCTAATGCATTTCTATTGTACTTCAAGAATTATCTACCAATGTTTTGTCTTGTTGTCAACTATGTAACATGACCTACCCATGCATTCACAACAAAACATAGTTGGATTATCACTGATCAGTGACAACTAGAATTAGTGCAAAACTGCCAGTAACAACTTGAATATCTTTATCAATGATCTATGTATCACAAGAATGATAGTCTAGATCTACAAATTCTTTGGCTATAAAACAGTATACATGTACAATGTTCTCTCTCAGCCTTTTTTTGTGGTAATCAGCTCAGCAGATAAGTCTTTCAGAGTCTGCTTTCCCTTCCCAATCCTTTCTTGTGGTCCCTAGGCTCATCTTGCTGCTTTTTGTTCAAAGCAGGGAGATTCATGTCTAAATGAACTCTAAAGCCCTTATCTGTATGTTATTCTGGGTTCAGAACTGTCCGTATCCCAGAAGCCAGATAAGCTACAGACTAGGAACTCTCTGTCCCTTATATGTAAAAGCTAAGGGCAGAGTAGGCATCAGTGGCCTAATAGATCATTGATATCATTGATGTCTCCATAAAGAATATCTTTATGCATCTGTAATAAAATTAAGTAAATGAAATTGTATTTGAAAAAAAAATGTACCGGCTTTGCTAACAATCCGCGTTGGCTGGCTGCTTCTGGTTGAACTGTTATAATGACTCAAATTGTTCTGGTTGAATTGTTATTATGACTCATTCAAGACTGTCAATGTTTAATTATCTTATTTCATCTTATTTTTATCTTGTATCATTTACTTTACATTATTTGTCTTTTGTACATAACATCCTAGTTAGAAATGCACTGATATATTGGCCGCCGAAACATATCGGCCAAATATGGCACTGTTGGCATAATGTGTCCCAGCGGGGAGGAGAGAACCCGTGACCGGCTGCCGAGTGCTGCGGGAGGAGAGTGCTGTGAGCGGCCGGCGTCTCTCCTCCCACACCGCTCAACCTCCTGTCGCAGATCGGCATAGTATGTTAACTATATCCTCAATTATGAATGAATGGGAAGTGATCTACATCACCTGCTGTTCATTCATAATTGTGGTTATGGTAAACATACTCTGTTCTCATGTTATGAATGAACAGGAACACTCAGTATGGAGGATTCCTGTTCATTTATAACAGGGCCTGCAGAAAAAGAGATTGAGGACTCTGTGGCCTCAATCTCTTTTTCTTTTTTAAAAGGGAAATATTAGGGGTCTATTTAGACCCCTAATATTTCCCCAAAGCCCTTAAAAGTAACGTAAAAAATAAAAATATTTTATTAAAAAAATGAATAAGAAAATATAAAAAAAATTTAAAAGTTTATAAAAAATAAATAAAAAGAAAATATAAAAAAATTTGAAAAGTTAAACTAAAAAACATTTTCGGTTTCCGCCTGACATTTTTTTTTAGTTTCGGTTTTGAAATTTTAATTTCGGTGCACCTCTAATACTAGTGTTATATACATTTGTGAATTTAGTGTGACTGTTTTTAGACCAAAAGAGTTAAAAATAAATAAATAAAATGAACAAAATTAAACACCCCCTGGCACATACATACACATACAAGCATTTAGGGGCACACCTAGGTGATACATATAAACTGTCTACAATCCTGCCAGCCAGTGTCTCACAAAGGATAAAGCATTAAAAGAGGCTTAACGTTTCATAAATTCACAGCATTCCTTTGGTGATAATTAGTGTCTAGTTACTGAACTTTTGAATAACCAAGAGCTGTTTTGTTATGTAATACATCCTTAAATAGAATGGGGAAATTACTTATTATCTGTTACTAGTTTAGCTCTCAAATTTCTGCAGATACTTATTATAAATGTCGTATAGTTTTTCATTAATGCGCACATCTCACTGTTATTTACATTTTTAATTCTAGATTCCAGCCATGACCGAGCTGGCAGTAACCTCCGATATTTTGAAAAGTTGCTAGAGAAAGAGAGAACTGAAGAGAAAGTAAACAGGACATCAGACACCGAGCCACACAAGCCACGTACTGATGTCTACAGCAGGCCTCAAGATTATCTGCCTGAGCGCGAGACCTACGAAGCTCTGTGCCGCGGAGAGGGAGTGAGAATGGTAACAGATACAGTAGCTTGTAAATGTTATTGCCTTATGTTTTTAGTTTATGTGTTTCGTTATGGGGATATAAACTTAGAAAAGTGCCATAAAAATGTACAAATGTGCTTAAGGCAGAAAAATCAATTGTTTTTTGGGGGGCAGCAGCGGCTCTGGCTGGGTTTGACTTGGGAAAGGTGGGAGTTAGAGACAAGTCCAGGGCCGGGCCCTGTGTACAGTCTGAGCCTAGTAGCAAAAAGACTATGCATGGACAGAGGGATTGATTTGAAGATTAAGATAGGATTTTTGTTACATATGAGTAAGCCTGGCAGCTAAAACATGGTTATCATTCTATTGTGTCACGTCCCTGCTTGGCTATTTATGTTAAAGGGGATTTTATGTTTTTTTTTTTTTTTTTTATCATGAGCAGTTGCAGTATCTTTGTTTTAATGTTTACAATATGCAGATGATTCAAGTACTCGCACATCTGATATATTACATTCAGAAAACATTTCTGGTTCAGACTGCAAAGGGGGACTCAATATTGAACCCTACGGGCTAAGACTGGGATGTCATTAAAGTTCATATGCGTGTAAAGGCAGGCATCCCAATACTTTTGGCAATATAGTGTATATAAGGTGGCAAGCATCATTTTTGGTTTTGGCCTAAAAATGTTACGCTCTGGAATGTGCATTGTGGTGCCATTAATTTCAATGGCATCCCAAGCACGCTTTCCAGTCGCATTGTAATCACCTGCACTGGAACACGCGGTACTGCAATGCCATGCGTTCCAGTGCGAGTGCAAAAAATGTGCATACCGTTTTATTTCGAAGTAAACTGTATGTTTGAAACACTCTATTTATTTTTTTAAATCCGATTAATCGAGAAAACTATCGGCCAAATCGATTATAAAAATAATCCTTAGTTGCAGCCCTAGTAAAGGTCCACTTGAAGTGCTCATTTTGGTCTAGGGGCAAAAATAAAAGAAAATATACTCTCCTGATGCTCAATTTTACCTGGCTGCTAGACCAGTCCCTGCAGCCACTTTTCCCCCAGGTTTCGTCAGTCTAAGGGCCTCTGACGTCATCACATCTATTGCAGGGACATGTCACAGCCAGAGCAGAGGGTGAGAGAAGTGAGTGCTGACTGCTGCAGGTTTGGGGATCTGGTGAGTATACAGTATCCCCTACACCAAAACGAACACTTAACCCTTGCAGCTGCACTGCAAGAGTTAATTTGAAAAATGTCTGCAATTCTGCTATAAGCATGCAGGATGGAATTACAGACTTAATAATTGACATGCTCGTTCTAGGCTACTGACTCACTAAATGTGAATCCATGGTCAGCAGTGGCAGTGCCTATATTTTCCTCTTCTCACATTGCATTTAATAATATTCATTGCTGCACTGTATTTTTATTGCATCTGTATAGAAATTGCTCACTGGTTAAAATACCATTTTTGTTTTTAGACTTCCAAAAGGCAGAAGAGGCTTTTCTGTCGCTATCATGATGGAAACCGAAATCCAACCCTGATCTTGAGTCCTGTTAAAGAGGAAGATGAGTGGGATAGTCCTCGCATTGTCCGATATCTTGATGTTTTAACCAGTGAAGAAATAGAGAGGATTAAGGAGTTGGCAAAGCCCAGAGTAAGCCATTTGTATTTACTTGCATCTTCATTCAAATAATTTATAGTGTGGTGTAGAGAGGGATTTAACTCTGGTATGGTAATGATTTACCTCTGTGCCCCATTCGTCCACTGTTCTAAAGCCTTGTGACATTACACATGTATGTTCAAGTTCTACTCTTTCTTTATGTAACTGGCAAAACAGACCGAGGTTTTTTCTAAAGGAAATTTTTTTGCGGTAGAGTGTTTGGAAACAATTAAACATTTCTTAGAACTAAGAAGGCACATTTATGATCTGGAAAGAGTAGAAATGAACTTGTGCAAGTAATTTTCCAATGTCTCTAAATAGATATTTAATTATTGTCTTTTCAGTAGTTATTTGGGTTCACACCTGATTTGTCATTTTTATCCTAGTCATCTCTGTAAAGGCTCAAACTAGGGTGGTCCTGCTCTTCGCACTGTTAAGGATACCCTGTTGCCAGACCATTTATTTCAACAAAAATCTTCACATACAATTAAATGTGCATTTAAAGTATTTTATGCATGTTTTTTTTTGCCTGTAAAGTTCTCCCTTCTATAGACATCCAATAGTTCTAAGGCTGTTTGGCATCACCATCTTGAATGTGATGTCAGCAGTCCAAGCAGACTATGAGCTGTCAGTTAGTTATCATGTGACAGATCCCAGTCAAATACACATGGCGGTGACTCATTGACCTGCAAATACCCCCTGCCAACAAACTAGTCACAAACATTTCCTTTACAATTGTTATGCTTATTTCTACACTATGAAGAGTGCTACTATATTGTAAAACCTGTTATATTCCTGTCTGGTGGGCATCACAGGCATTGCTTAAGTTTAGAATTGTCACAGAATTTGATTTGTTACGGTGCGTGTTTCTGTTAAAACCCATGGTGGCAGCTATGGTGAATTTTCGGTGGCAGCAAAGTAGGAACAGAACCACGTATTGTCACATATTGGTGGCAGTACAGTGGGATTGGACCTGTCATTGCATCACATGCAGCATTTAAGCATTTTAAATATTTGATGCTTCTGTGCTTAAGTATCTCAAAGAACAGCTACATTTCTCATAGGTATTTTTTATACCTTTTAGATGTATTATATATTTATAATATTTAAGTGACTTTCTGTAAAATACCCGTAATTTGTAATAGATTTGATTATTTGGACTTACCTCAACCAGAAAGGATTAGCCACCTACCTTGATTTGGTGTTTATGACTGTCTAAATGACAGTGTTATGTATTATGTAGCAGCAGCTACATAAGCTGCTTCTGTGTAAAATGACACTTGCAGGTAGTCTGCAAGTGTCATTGAGTGATACAGTTTAGCATTGTATTGTTACACCGTAGTTACAATTTCATAGACAAAGGTGTGACCTTTGATATGCGTATCACATTAGTTTAAGGTACCGTTTTAATTTGCAAATAACTATGTTGTGTACCAGAAATATCATGTTAATGTAATTTAAAATATGACACATTATAGAATAAAGTGTATACATTTTATTTACAGTAAAACTACCTTTTTATATTTTTTAAATCGAACAGTTGTTAAAAGAGAAAAAAATGCCTTTTTTTAAAACTTATTTTTGTTTAACCCTTTCCCTGCCAGCACCGTATCCCTTACGGTGCTGGCTTAGAACCCCTGTACACAGACTCCAGGCGGATAGCTGTCTACCTGTGTAAGGCCGTTTGTCGGCTTTACACTGGAAGCAATTCTGGTGGCTGAGCTGCCACCAGATCACTTCCAGGGGTTGGTGAACAGGGTCCCACCCCCACCTTGCTTCCTGGGCTCCGCCGCGACTGGCAAACATTTGTTTGCTGATCGCTTCCCTGTTTCCCTGATTGCGTCACATCCGGCTTCTCAGCTGTCATTCCCCAGCTAGAGAAGCCAGGGAAGAAACTATTCAAGTGCAATTTGCACATGAATAACTTCTTTGAAGTAGAAAGGTGACAACAGTGGTCCAATAGACCCCTAATGTCACCTTGAAGAGAACCTGTCACCAGCAATGTGCTATCACATAGGGGCTTGTGACTATTAGATGTTAACTATTAGAAAATCAAAAGAATGTTCTGAAAAGGATTTTTTTGATTTTTTTTTTTTTCTCAAATGAAATTCTAATAATGTATGGCTTGCTTAAATAACCAGGCAAACACTGGTTATTGGACAATACCTGATAAGTGTATCGCCAGTATTACTGGTATTGTACCACGGAATTCTTATCTTTTGATAAGATAAAGTTTGGTTTAGGTAGAACTGACTGATTTATTTTTTAAATAATGATTTGCTGACCTCTAGCAGACAGTTCTTAGAACAGTAGAGTATTTTAAAGTTACACAGTTCTTCTCTGCATAAGATTGACTTCACATATATATCAAAGTGAGACAGCTACGCAATGTCATACATTAAACATAGCATAACGTAGTCACTTGTTAAAGAAAAAGTGCACTATTCATTTCTTTCTGCCCCCCTTCACTACCATCTCAAAGCCCACCCTCCCCCTCTGCAGATTTATACTTACTGAGATCCAGCGCCTGTGGCAATTGGGGATTGTTTAAATCCCTCTCCAAACCCATGTCATTTCCTGCCACGCCTGTGCAGAAGAACCCTAAAGACTTGTATAGCACTCTACTACCTCCATCTTTATGCCAAGGTCTTATTGTTACCAAACCTTGTACTAGTAATTCAATTGAGCACTAGTTGAAAGATCCAGCTTGAAAATACTTGCATGACTTGGCGCAGTAATCCCACATGACCTTTTGTCTTTTCAGTCTTTTATGTCAAAGAAGTTTTGAATGAAGAAATCTATGCTAACTCCTGCTATTTTATTGTTTTCATTTGGGCGCAGTGTCAGCATCACAATTCTTATCTGACAGAAGTAGAGCAGCCATGAGGCTGGAATCATGTTGGTGTTTGATGGAACATAAATATTTCTTGCAAGCTTCTCTCTCACTTTCAGTAGCAACGGCAGCAACGCTGTTTTGTTTGTAAGTTATGCTATGTGAATAAGTAACATGAAACAAATATAAAGTAGGTGTTATCACAATGGCTGCAAAAGTGGAAATACACATTTAGGCCTCATTCACACAGCTAAGTGTCAGCGCGTACAGATCCGTACGGCGTGCACTGCCGTATCGTATAGGAACTGTCTGCAGGAGCCATAGCAATGCACCCATGATCTACTGATCGTGGTTGCAATGCTTTACTAGTGTCTATGCAAAAAAATAATAAATGCAAATGTTTTTATTTTTGGAAGAAATTTGCATTTATAATTTTTTGGGAAAAAGTTACTTTCCTTTTAAAGTACAAAAAATAAATGACCAGGGATTTGTCCATAGGGGTCATTGCAGAGCTAGGGTTAGTATGTGGCCATGATGAAAGTTAAGTAGGTGTAGTTTATACACTTTGTAAATTAAAGTGGAGTTTCCTTTTCAAGTGGACCTCACCAGGAATGTCCTAGGTACAGTCTGCATCGCTGCCCTGTTGTATGTGTACTATCCATATGGTTTCCATTGCAAGTCTGATGCAGTAGAGCAAATATCTGGACAGAGTGCAGTCCCCTTCCAGTCAACATGCTGTTTGCCACACAATTATGTACTTGCCAGTATGCATAGTGGTTAGTGGGATATTCTAGCTTTCATTTTTAGAACCTGCATGTGGGATTCTGTAGCTTTACTAGGTCAGCAAGGCAACCTTAGAATTAACAGATTTCAAAAAATGTACAAGGAATGTTAAATCTATAAATTACATATATAAAGCACTGAGAAAGGGCATGGAGGGTATTGCAAGCAGTATGTTATTTCCTGGAGCATTACATTATGACTTAACCAAGCCGCCCCAGTATGTGTTTATTCACCATGGTAACCAGTAAGCTTGATAAAAAACATATGTGGGGTTACTGGTCAGTGCCAAACTAAGCAAAGAGAAAAGCACTAACCTCTGTTTCCTGTGATTTAGGAATGTTTTCGGTTGGCTTCATTATGTAGTATTATATTTTACAAAATCATTGTTCTTTTTATTAAAACGTTTTAAAATATATCTTTTATTGGATAAAAGTGAGGGTGCTCTTTCTAACCCCAGCTTTTGAAAATGCTAATTCCCCTTTTCCTTATGCGTATGCTGTGGATATAAAGCTCACAAAGTTCCAAACCTGAAACAAGTATTCTCTGGCTTTTATTTGCTGCATGTTAGTTCCTTGCCTGAGACTCAGAAGTATAAATCAAGATGCAGCCGGGCAATAAGCATTCTCAGAAGGAAATCATACCTCCCAACTGTCCCTCATTTGGAGGGACTGTTCCTCATTTGCAACCAAATTCCTCTGCCCCTCTTTCATGCTCAGTTGTCCTTCTTTTTGGTCTGATGTACAGAGATTCTATTTAACCACCAGAAGTGATATTCTACACTAATTCCATTTTCTCATCACTTAATTATCTTGTTTATTATTTCAAAAACCCAGCATGAAGGAAAAGTAATAGTGAAACAAATTCTGGGTTTAACCAATCATTTTTGGCATATGAAAACTTAATAGTCGGCATAACTGGGGGCATGGCACGGGTGCGTCCATCGCCTAAATACATTCTGTTGGAAGGTGTCCCTCTTTCTCATGTGAGAAATTGTGGCTGGATGGGAGACCAATAACAACAGCCTCCATATCCTTATTCTATCATACACTGTACCTGTCAAACACTGCCTTGATTTTAAGATTTAATTGAATCAAAGAATGCACAATGTTTTATTTATTAACATTTTATTGATTAGAGTGATTTCTTCTCTACAGTTAGCAAGAGCAACTGTGCGGGATCCAAAAACTGGAGTTCTTACAACAGCCAATTATAGAGTTTCTAAAAGGTAGGATGACATGCACATGATATATTTTGTTTTAGCTTTCCTGTCCATGTAGACATTGTTCATCGTTTTACAAAGGACACACCACAAATGGAGGATCAATATTATTTAATTTGTCAGGTAGAAATAAAAGTGTAATTCTAGCCTCCTGTATCTTCCTACCCCAAGGGATAGCACCCCAGGGTTGTGGCGGACATACCATCATCCGTGAAGCTCTTTTATACAGTTATCTGTCTGCTAGATGTAATAGATGCTGCTATAGTAGTGAGTTTACTATCGGAAGTACAAGAGACATGGGAATGCCCATTCGTATTCCATAACATACTTTTATTTATTGAAAAGAATACTTCCACAACCTCTACAACATTATAAGCGTTTGCTCATATTCTCGAGGTAAAACATCACAGTGGACCAACACTAAATATGGCTCTCCTGCCATAGAGTATATTGATGAGCCAGTCATTATATAGACCGGCACAATTAGCCTTTATCATATAACCGTGACACACCTAACTAAATGATATTTGTTTTCACTCCTATATTTAGTCTGAAACACATCTTGAGAAATCTCTCAAAACACTTATAGGTATATTTGTATTTTTACATTGCAGAGAATGATTAACCTCCTTTTAAATAGCGCATTCACTGCTTTTTAAATATCTCCCTTATTTTAATAGTCAATAGTGTTCCTATATAGCTACCTCCTCTGCCCAGCTGGCTTCAACCACAAGTCTAAGCGCACCTGGGCACCCATGGCCTCTGGAGTTCCTAATATGAAAAACAACTTTAGGTCTCTTTGGACAAGATGAATGAAATGTACAAGCTCCTACTGGCGTTCTGTGCATTTTTCCTTGTTTTTATCTATTCGTGATCCTGAGTTCAGTAATATTGGTACCAAGAAAACTTGTCTCTGATAATACTTTTGGAACTACATGTTGAGCGACTCCTACACTTGGGCTACTCCTGTAGACATTTTTTCAACAGAATTTTCGAGTACCTGGTAAAAAAGAAGCTGAGCCTCTCAAGGCTAAAGTACACTAAAATTAGTTGGTAGTACTAGTCTCCTGGTACTGTACGATTTGACCAATTGTTGGCATTCATCTGATTCCAGCACATTGATTCCAAAGTGTTGCCAATGAAATGATTGGCAGCAAAAGTTTACTTTTTTTTTTGTAGAGTGATATTAAAATAGCCTTAAAATTCTCACATAAAATATGGTGGTTGCTGAGCCACTGCTAGCAGCTGTGTCCTGGAAGAACTTCTGCAAATACACAACTGGAACTTGTTAACCTCAACTGTCTTGTACAACAAAGAAGTAGCCCTGTACTGATTAAAACATCAGTTTGCTTTCTTTTCTGTCAGCAAGTTCCCAGTGTTGTGCAGGGGATTACAGAGACAGATTTGGGTATATACTGTATACTAGCTGCATTTAAAAATACATTTTCTGAGTTTAAATGAATGCATTCTTGGGTTAAATAGTGACCAAATATATGTGCCCAGAGTTCAGCTGTAAGTACTCAGACTTTTACTTTTCGGTTTTTACGTGTTCCTTCTGACCTCAGAAAGAGGTCTGAAAGAATGTACTATACAAGTTGTATGCCTTTTATTGAAACCTTTTAGATCCTTCCATATAACCAATGGCTCACTCATCTTAAAGGGCAGCTGAAGCCCTTTTTTTTTGGAGAGAGAGGAGAGGGATTAGAACACCTGTCAGGTTTGTGTTCCCATTAGGGCGATTCACAATCTCTATTTGTCCTGGTGTTCTCATTGAACAAGAAAGAAAATCCCAAATTTTGAGCCCTATGGACAAATCCCTGGTCAGAACAGGAACACCGGAGACACAATTTCTGGTGACCCTGCTGACCACCAGCGATTTACCTAATTTTTAAGGGATTTTCTCTCACTTCCTGTTTTGACCATCAGCCAGGAAGTGAAGGGAAATCTCTGCAGTGGGACACAGATGGCAAAAACAGCTGACAAGGTTTATAACCCTTCCGTACTCTATCCAAAACATATCCAGAACAAAAAAAAAATAATTTAAAGCGGAACTACAACCACCTATCCTTTTACAGCCAAGGAAGGTACCATCTTAGCCTCTATTTGGATTGCTGTTGCCATGGTGCTGCACATGTGATTAACTATGACACCAGCCATTTGAGGGCTGAAAGTTTGTTTGAGAGCTAAATTAAGCACACTTACCACCTTGGCAGTTGGCATGCCTTAAAAGTAACTGTTTTGGGAGATCCATTACATTGGTTTAACTTACCATATGTTAACAGTATTTTTTGTTTCTGTGCAGTGCCTGGTTGGAAGAGTATGAAGACCCAGTTATTGTTCATGTAAATAAGCGCATGCAGGCTATTACGGGGCTAACGATTGACACTGCAGAATTGTTACAGGTAAAATAGATCTTTGCATGTTAATATGCTGTATTATTGAATGGGGCTGATAAATGTTCCACCATAGGGTCCCAGTGTTATTCGGTCACACCTAAAAAAGGACTAGATGACTTAACAGTTACTTGTAAATGTTGTTTTTGTTTTTTTAAATTAAAAACAGAGGTGATGGCTTCGTATCTACTTCTGTGCTCACTGCCCCTGTGGTGGTACTATATATTGATAGCTAGAATGACACTTTAAGGTTCCTTTATGTTGTATGCATATTTCTTTTTTACAGGTTGCAAACTATGGCATGGGAGGCCAATATGAGCCACATTTTGATTTTTCAAGGGTAAGTGTAAAATTATATTTTGTGAATGATGCATGTTATTTAACTTTTCCAGTGGTAATGTGGCAGGTGCTACATGTGTTTATATTTGTTCAAATAGCATGATTCAGTATGTAAGATAATGTACACATGGGCACATCTGTCTAAAATACTCTTTGAAGACATCTTTGCATGCATTATTGATCCCTCTAACGGTTAATACTTGAATCTGTCATGTTGCTTGATTTTATGTTTGGCCATCCTTATTTACTTTGCAGACATATTTGAAAAGTTACTGCTGTTGTTTGAAACATGGACTATGGGCTCTATGATGGTATTCCATAACAAACACTGCATGCAGTGATTAAATGGTTTATAGGTTTTCGCACATTCACGTGTTAATCTCTTCACAGCTACATTGATTGCAGCCAATTAAATGGTTTTCTAAGAAATGATTGTAAGTTTGAATGTACAGTATATGGTCATGGTTCTGAAAATTCAATTTTTACATGCACACAGTTACTTGCTGCTGGCATGCTTCTGGCATCCCATTGCTAAAATGCTGGTCAATTATAGATGCTTACTCTATCTGAGCCACTGTTGCTTTGTACAAAAGCTTGGGCTTAGTAAAAAACAGCTGACAAGGTTTATAACCCTTCCGTACTCTATCCAAAACATATCCAGAACAAAAAAAAAATAATTTAAAGCGGAACTACAACCACCTATCCTTTTACAGCCAAGGAAGGTACCATCTTAGCCTCTATTTGGATTGCTGTTGCCATGGTGCTGCACATGTGATTAACTATGACACCAGCCATTTGAGGGCTGAAAGTTTGTTTGAGAGCTAAATTAAGCACACTTACCACCTTGGCAGTTGGCATGCCTTAAAAGTAACTGTTTTGGGAGATCCATTACATTGGTTTAACTTACCATATGTTAACAGTATTTTTTGTTTCTGTGCAGTGCCTGGTTGGAAGAGTATGAAGACCCAGTTATTGTTCATGTAAATAAGCGCATGCAGGCTATTACGGGGCTAACGATTGACACTGCAGAATTGTTACAGGTAAAATAGATCTTTGCATGTTAATATGCTGTATTATTGAATGGGGCTGATAAATGTTCCACCATAGGGTCCCAGTGTTATTCGGTCACACCTAAAAAAGGACTAGATGACTTAACAGTTACTTGTAAATGTTGTTTTTGTTTTTTTAAATTAAAAACAGAGGTGATGGCTTCGTATCTACTTCTGTGCTCACTGCCCCTGTGGTGGTACTATATATTGATAGCTAGAATGACACTTTAAGGTTCCTTTATGTTGTATGCATATTTCTTTTTTACAGGTTGCAAACTATGGCATGGGAGGCCAATATGAGCCACATTTTGATTTTTCAAGGGTAAGTGTAAAATTATATTTTGTGAATGATGCATGTTATTTAACTTTTCCAGTGGTAATGTGGCAGGTGCTACATGTGTTTATATTTGTTCAAATAGCATGATTCAGTATGTAAGATAATGTACACATGGGCACATCTGTCTAAAATACTCTTTGAAGACATCTTTGCATGCATTATTGATCCCTCTAACGGTTAATACTTGAATCTGTCATGTTGCTTGATTTTATGTTTGGCCATCCTTATTTACTTTGCAGACATATTTGAAAAGTTACTGCTGTTGTTTGAAACATGGACTATGGGCTCTATGATGGTATTCCATAACAAACACTGCATGCAGTGATTAAATGGTTTATAGGTTTTCGCACATTCACGTGTTAATCTCTTCACAGCTACATTGATTGCAGCCAATTAAATGGTTTTCTAAGAAATGATTGTAAGTTTGAATGTACAGTATATGGTCATGGTTCTGAAAATTCAATTTTTACATGCACACAGTTACTTGCTGCTGGCATGCTTCTGGCATCCCATTGCTAAAATGCTGGTCAATTATAGATGCTTACTCTATCTGAGCCACTGTTGCTTTGTACAAAAGCTTGGGCTTAGTATAGACGAAAGAAAACCCAGATATAATGTACTGCATGCTCGTTTTTACATCTCGATTTTTTGGAAGTCTAGGTTTACCAGTTTATAGTACAACTGAAGCCTGTTTTTTGTTTTGTTGTTTTTTTTAGTTTTTTTTAGTTTTGGATAGAGTAGGGAAGGGTTACAACCCCAGTCAGCTTTCTTTTTTTGTCCTCTGTGTCCTATTGAGGAGATTTCCCTTTTATGTCCTGTTTTCTAGCCCTAGCAGGAAGTGAACAGGAAATCCCTGGTGGTCAGTAGAGTCACCAGAACTAGTGTCCCCATTGGGAAATTTCCCATATATTCCTGACCCAAAGTTTGGGATTTTCTTTCACTTTCAGTGATAACTGAAATCAGAGAGGGTGAATCTCCCTAACAGAGGCACAGACATCAATAAAAACCTGACAGGTGTTCTCTCCACTCTATCCAAAACCCCAGTTGTACTTTAAAGCTTTCTATGAGAAACATCGGTATGCAAATTTCCTACCTCCACCTCCTTTTTTTGCCATTCTGTCAAGACTCTGCATGCGACTTAAAAGAAAGAAAAGGTTATGTGCATGAAGTTAATCAGAAATGCGTATCTTCAGGTTAAATAAAAAAGCATCCTGGAAAAAAGTGGTTGCATTGCCTAGCTCGTTGGCTTGTGTATATCAGTGCAGCGCACTGCTGCCACCTACTGTATATTATATACCTTTTTTATATTCAGATTTTTATTGTAACTACCAAATTTCTTTAAACCTCATTATTTTCTCAGCAACATTTTGTTTGTTTTAAAGGCAGCAATTTGCTTTGTCTCCAAACCAATGATGGCAAACAAATTATATTTTATAATTTATTTACAACGATGCCAAAACGCAGCATATTTACTATTTTAAATAGTCATTTTTTTGTTCTTGGATTATGGTTACAAGTAGAAATTCTACAAAGTTTAAATGAAGACATGTAGACTCAGTAGATACAGTCCCTTTTAAGTAACATCAATACAATGTTTGTATTTAAGAAACAAAAAAAATTTGGGTCGTAATGTTTGTGTATGATTTTGCATCCTACATTTATATTCATAATGTTGCTGAGTTTAAAATATATTGCAAGCTGTGTAAAATCAATACATTTTATGGTATTGATAACTTGATGATAAGGCTTTTTAATTCAATGTGTACTTATCTGCAACATCAAAGGGACTCTGTATCAGGACAAATCCTAAACCATTCATAGAGTACAATAATTTTTGAGATTACCCTTCTTGCGCTGCCATTATGTCTGTGTCAAAATTTTAGAATATTTGCTTATTTATGGTGGTGGTGGGTGAAGCAAGGTGCAATTTTGCTTTGCGCATAAAACTGTCTGGCTTTCTATAGATACGCATTAATCATTTTTTATGATCCGGCCTTCTATTATTAAGAACAATAAAATTGGCTGGAAATGCTCATTTCCATTTTTTATGCTTTACATTTTCATTGAGGGCATTTACACATTCAATACACAAAAATGACCAGATCTGCTTAAGCAAGCTTGCCTTTTTGTGCCGCTGTATATTTTTGTCTGTGACCAATGAGCTTCTCTGGTTTTTCAGCTTTCGTGTTAACGTGTAGCTATACCTTGAATGTGCAATAACGTTCCTAGAGTAGATTTCAGATGAATTTGATATTTAAAACCTAAGCAGTAACATCAAATGCTTCCTTTAAGTATGCATTGTCCATATTGTCCCCTTTTTGTTGTGCAGGCTTCTGAACAGTTCATTATGCATCCTAATAAATTATATTTTTTGTGATGCTGTAGACCGTATGAGTTCGGCCTTGTTTATTCTTTGTCTGAAACCTCTCAGTCACTGTGAACATTAAAATAAGTTTTGGTTAATTTAAAATGTCTACACTGGTGATATAAATTAAACACAGGTACCCAAATGTAACTGCACATATCTGTAGAATTGTGCTAGATTGTCCCGCAAACCCAAAAAACCCTGTGTGCTTTGTTATACAAATAATGACTTTGTCTTAGAAGTCTGAGCTTTGCATCCTTTCTTCTTTCTATCAAGTTTACCTATTGGTCTGTGAGGCTATGTCTCACAGTATAGGGTCAATAGGAAACCTTGGGCCAACTTCCTAGGTGAAGAAGTAGTTCTTTACATAACAGTGCCTGGAAGCTTCAGGGCAGGTATGTGCAACCATCTCTGGGTATAGTACAAATGTAGGGGCTTTACATTAGTCCCATTTACCTTAGTCACATTTACCTTACAGGCTAAGAGTCTGACAGCTGGATACTTGTGGTACGTGCTATTAGGCCCCGTTCACACTAAGCGATTTATCGCGCGGTAATTCCCGCGATATCGCGGCTATTTACCGCACGATAACGCTCTCCAATGCAATCCAATGGGGCTCTGTCTGTAGCTGTTGCGGGTCGTGCATCGCTACAGCAGGACCCTTTTTGGAGCGGATTTTGCCGCGATTCTAGCTTGCTCAATGCAAGCATTTGCACGATATGCACAAACGACAAACGCGCGATTTGCTAATCGCTCAATGTGAATGGGGCCTTACTGATAATGATCCAAAAAGATTCTTATATTTGCCCTTCTGTCTCTGAGCTCTGTCACATAAGAGAGCCGCAACCTCTCCAATAGGAGCTAAGCCCCTATCAGTAGGAATACCGGACTAAATGTATACACTTCTAAATAAATATAAAGCCTATGCTTGCCTGCACAGGGGAAACAAATTGATCATAACGTGTATTATTTCTCTTCCTGATTTATTGAATTTATCTGGAAGGCAGCAGTGGGCTTTAAAGCCATTCTCTTTATTTTTTTTAAAAGAATATTCTCAAGTTAAAGCTGAATTCCAGGATGGAAGTTAATTTACACAATTACTTTTCTACATAGGTACATAATAAATGTGCATATGTTTTATGTTAAAACATCATCGTTTGGAGACAATACCTTTTAAAATTCTGTAGCCACAACCCCCTTTGAGGAACAACTACTATGGCTGGGCTAATGGAGAGGGTTTTAAGCCTGTAGATAGGTTATATCCACCTGCTGTGCCTCAAAGCTTGCAAAAACAATTCCCATCATGCAAATTGTAATTGGGAATGTGCGTTGGTGTGAGCCAGATTGGGACTGGAATGAGGCTGATGTAAACATTACCAGTCATTGCCTTCTGTATACATCTATATCGCCTTTTGTATAGACACACTTCTCTGCACATAGCTTACATGCAAGCATGGGTGGGTGTGACTGACCAGGAGATTCCTGGGTGTTTCAGCCAAAGCATTAAGTCATTGTGGGGGAACAGACCAAGAGACACCTGGCAGTAAGTGATGGTGGGCAGGAGAGACCAGGAGTCTCCTGCCCCGTGCATCAATCAATGCATAGTAAGTAGGTGGGTCAGAGTAGCAGTCTGAGACACAAAGATCCAACCTCTACAGTGAGCTCTGACACATAATTACGCTGATGCTCAATGTTCATAGGAGCTATAGAGGAGACCGTATACAACTGGTGGTTGGGGGAATAGCATGTATTCTCCTCAGCTCCATCTAGTGGCCATGGTGTATTGTTATAACACACTACATTCAAACTTGGAAAAAAATATATCACGAACAATCGTTGTTGGTATTTTCCCCCCAAAAGGAACATTCACAGATAGTTGCATGGTGAAGGCTTCTGCAAATTGTTTATCAATAAACCCCAAACTGTCATTTGTGTATTGCTTCCAGATTTCTGCAGTAATCCAACTTAAAAATAAATCCTTCACTTTGCTTATGTGTGGGAGTCTCCTCCCACACATAAGCAAAGTAAGACGGGTCACTGTTGCTCTTTCTCCTTGTGCAGGGTGACTGGTCTTGTATCTGCCCCTCCTGTAGTTTACTGCATTCAGTTTGTACTGGGAGGAGCTACTAAGTACCACCCACAGTTCTGCTCTGTGCATAGCCACTGTTTGTTTTTTTACTATAGGTAATATCTGGGTTTGTAAAGGCATGTTGTACATACAAAGAGCAATTATATTCTTTGTGACTGAGGAATATATTTGAACAAAAGTTGTTGTGCCTGGAGTTCAGCTTTACATTTTGTCCACTGGTATTATACCTTAAACATCAGCATCTGCCAGCAATAATCGCTGGCAAAACTATTTGTTGCGATTCCACTTAGTTTGCTGTGGTGAGTGGTTTGCTCTTTTAGTATAGTGCTGTGCTACTTAGCAGAGCGTAAAGCAACACATATAGCTAAAGGCTTTGCTTGCTTAAAATAGTGCCATGCATTTGTTTTATTCTACATTTTAAAAGGTGTAATCTCACAAATTTGTGTTGATGTACCTCCACTGCCATTTTTTGTATACCTCCACTGCCATTTTTTGTATCTATGGCTGGGCATTTATGCAAAGTACAATTGCATTTTGTGTCAGTAATTTAATCAATAATTGGTATGCCTTTTTTTTAAATTTCTGAATTCGGGTTGCAGTTAAAGTTATTATCTGTTGCAGCGTCCCTTTGACCCCAATCTCAAATCGGAAGGAAATAGGCTTGCAACATATCTTAATTATGTAAGTACCGTGGTAAATGTTTCTGGATTCCTTCAGGTCTGCAGTTTATTCTCACATTTAATTTTGTAGAAAGAGGAACCTGATGTATTCAAGCGTTTAGGGACTGGCAATCGTGTTGCAACCTTTTTGAATTACGTAAGTATGGCATCTCCAGTAGGACAGCAATGTTGAACATGGAAAAACTGGAATGCGAAAGAGGTGAACATCATGATTGCCATAATGCTAAATTTAGCAAAAATGGTAAAATGTTTAGATGGGAGGTAAAAGCTCTGACTTAACAAATGGTGAAAAGTTTCAAATGTGTTACTGAAGATTATCATGGATGGGTTGTGTAAAAGAATACAGTCTGTTGCATATCAAGATAGCAGTATAAAATATTACCATATATCGTGCGTTTGTGCATACCAACCTTCACCACCAATGTGAAAGCATATAATTTTTATTATATACAGGCGATGACATAGGACAAAAAGATTACATGTATAAACATATATATTTTCCTTCAGCAATATGATGTATTTCTATTTATTTCTGTTTAAGAAAGTTTCACATCTCTAGAAAAACTGGTAAGGTGAAAATAATTTTGCATATGCGTATGCGTTTCAGGAATCTCTGCGCTGTGCTGGAGTGACCCTTCTAAAAGCAAGAAAATAAATAAAATTATGGGCAAGTAAAATGTTAGGATTTTTTTATGCTGGTCTTACAGTCACCACCCTCTGTAAACCAACACTATTATAAACACTCTTCGGGTCCTAGGCTTCCCACCGAAGTATAAAAACGACAATTGCATTACAGATGTAAGGTATTGCCATGCACACTGGAATGAGAGCAATAATTCTGGGGTCATCATTTACTGTTAGCTCTAAATTATTGACCTGTAAAGGGTTTTTAAATGCTGCCTATGGACAATTTTGGGTACTGCAGTTTGTCATCCTTTAATTGGTGTGTGTAATTTCAAGTCTTTATGTGTGATATCTGCTCACTTGATGCAACCTCATCTTTTATATTTTACCATAATATTGTGTTTGTGTGTATTAAAATAAATCAAGCTGAGTATAGCTGATTTTTTATTGAAAACATGGGTTTGATGAACTGTTTTGCTGTTATCGTGTGACATATAAAAAATTACAACTAGGACCATTTTATTTTCCAGGGTCTGTGCTTTCAGAAAATATATGATTTGTTGGTGGTTGTAAGTAATCCTCAGGGTTAAAATGTGTGCAAAAAATAGGGGGGGAAAAGGTTCTGGTAGCAAAAAGGTTAAAGATATACCTAGCATAGAAGCACAATGCTGAAATTTTACATATGGCAGAATTGGTGTACTTTATTGCTCTGTGCTAAACTAATATAGCAAATTTGTGTAGATGTGTTTTTTATGGGGGGTTATGAAGGCATCATCATACATACAAATGATCTGCACTATTCTTACAGCTTACTCCTATATGTCCTATTATCAGATGATGTCATGTTGGTGCACAGATTTCGGTGCAGTATTTCCTACACGAATAGTTTGGTACATTGTAAATAAGCGCTAGAGCTTTTATTGTATGTCATTTGTAACATTGTACTTTCGCTGCTAGTATTTACATGACAGGATGATAGAATATTAACTGCTTAATTCACTCATAATGGTGGGTGGTGCGTACAAGCATTCTGACGCCTATAGAGCTGCCCGATCGCTTGTATGCTGGCGGGGAGTGTGCCCGCCGCCAGCTATCCCGGGCTCCGCTGTCCTCCGTGCAGACCCGGGACCTGCACAGTAGGCCTCTGCGGCAGGATCAGATGGCACTCGGCACACTTTTACCGGCTGATCTACGTCCAATCACTGGAACTGGAATTATTACATCACTTCCGGTTTCAGGCTGTCATTTTTCCGGCTGCTGTAGCTGGAGAAGAAGCTGGTGAAGCATGATATTAGCTTCATCAGCTTGTTTGGGGTCCCTAGGTTACATTAGGGGTCTAATAGACCCCTGATGTATCCATAAAGAAGACCTCTCACTGTATCTGTGCTATCACATAGGAGACTAATAGCAATAAAGTGTAAAAAAATAAAAAACGTAGTCACATATAAACAAATTTTCACAACAAAAAGTTCCGCGCCCTCACATACAAGTGTAAAAACGTATTGGGTGCGCCTACATGCGAAAATGACTATTGTGCCACATATGTGCCATATGTGCCATATCAACGCGAACGTCAGAGTGCGAACAATAATTCTAGGTCCATTAATCACTGTTACTGATCAATGAATTGATGAGCGGTAAAAGCTTTTAAAGCGTCATATATGGGCAATTTTGGGTTTGATTGTTTTGTTTTTTTTCTCTGGCTCAAGGCTTCACATGTTTGGTGTCTGTTTACCTGAGGTGACCCAAATTTTTTACCATGAAATTGCTTAATAATAAATGTTTTATCACATAACGTAGGGTTTTTTTTTTCAAAATGTTTGGCACTTTTTTCTTTATCTAGTAAAAAAATGTAAAAAAACCCAGTGTAGATCTAATACTACCAAAAGAAAGCTCTATCTGTCCCCCAATTTTTTTTATAAGATTAATTTCAGTACCGCGTTGCATGACTGAATAAATGTCAAAGTACCTCAGTGCTGAATACTGAAAAATGGGCTGGACAGGAAGGGGGGTTAACACCCCTGTCGGCAAGTGATTAATGTAATACAGAAAATTGTGTGTGAAGCCCTTGAGTGATCGGCACCACACACCTGAAATCAGTAGAAAAACAGGTAGGTTTGTGGGGGTTTTTAGGTGCCTGAGTGACGGAACCAATATTGTATCAAAAACTTCTTTTATTGATATCAAAAATTATTAAAATCATGTAAAATGATTATAAATATATAGCGTCCTTCCATGCAATATACATTAGTACCATCAAAGTGCTACGCCAAAACATAAGTAAAGCATGTTCACAAACAATAGCCATACGTGTGTTCTTTTCAAAAACTTGCCATATGTTTCTCCTTTTTCTTTTAATGTTAGGAGTAGTTAGCATTCAACGCGTTTCACGCTACAGGCGCTATTTCAGGAATTTCTGATTGCTGGAGGCAATCTAATCAATCATAAAAGGGTCGCTGAACATCCAAAATGGAAAGATAACCATTAGGTAATTTGAAAAAATAAAAACAATTGTTACGATATCACATACCAGGTCTGGAAGCAGTTTATGCACATACGGCCGAAGCGATGCAGACAGAGCCTAGGTTCAGAGGGATCCCCCTAAGGTTGAAACTGCGCCCCAAGGTGAAGGAAAGATGAGTGACAAAAATCCCTAACACAATGTCCTCCTAGACCAAAAAAGCAGCGGATAAATATATATGATATAATCAAACCCTTTCCATATACCTCAATTAAAAACCCTTTATGAGTGTATAGTATATTTGAACCCCCTTAGAGGGTCTGCCAACACAGTTGGACATATGCAATAATATATAAGAAGTGTCTTCATCAAAAAGATGCAAATGGCAGAAAAATACTCAAGGGCAATAAAGGAAGGAAAGTAATGAAAAAAGGACGGATAACAATAATCAATTTGTAACAATAACAATGATAACAATAATTAATCTGGAAGCTTATGATCAAAATAAGCAGGCAAGGCAATATAAATGTGAATGACGCTCATTGCCGCCAGTAAGCACGAGGCCGCATTGCAGCCGCGTATAAGCATCGGCGGCCTGGGTGGGCACTATAACGGCATCTGACGCAATGGGGCCAAAAATGCTGAATTCTTCCAAAAAATAGCCTATGTACTTTTTCCAGCAACAGGTCTTTGGTTACAGGTGACAGCTCACTGAAACACATTTCTGTATCAGAAGATAGTACCTTTGCTCCCATTCTGGTGACAAGTATAAAAATTGGCATTCCCCTTTACTTTCTTTCATACTGTTGATAATGGGTACCAGGGCCAATACAGGTGAAACTCTAATAATTAGAATATCGTGCAAAGTTCATTTATTTCACTAATGCAACTTAAAAGGTGAAACTAATATATGAGATAGACTCATTACATGCAAAGCAAGATAATTCAAGCCGTGATTTGTCATAATTGTGATGATTATGGCTTACAGCTCATGAAAACCCCAAGAACCCCAAATCCACAACCTCAAAAAAGTAGATTATTACATGCAATCAATAAAACAAGGATTGTACATAGAACAATAATCGGACCTCTGAAAAGTACAAGCATGCATATGTACTCAGTACTTGGTTTGGGCCCCTTTTGCAGCACTTACTGCAATTACTTTTGCACAATATTCTAATTATTCGAGTTTCACCTGTAGAAGGGTAGATTAATAAACACCTGACAGAGGTTCAATTCTTTTCACACTCTATCCAAATCTAGCAAAAAGTTCTGTCTGGACTTATACTTGGTAACATACCATTCATAGGGGGAACTTTTCAAAACTGGAGCAGACAAAATCTAGAGCAGTTGCCCATGGCAACCAATCAGCTCCTCTCTTCTCCTCTCTTTCATTTTCAATTCTTATTTGAACAAACTGGAGAGAGAAGCTGATTGGTTGCCATGCACAGCTGCTCCAGATTTCGTCTGCTCCAGTTTTGATAAACTCCCCTGATTATGTTTGTATACTAACAAACTAATTCTAAGTGAAAACAAAACTAGCTGACGTAGATAAAAAGTAAGATCCTCTATTCAGCCTCTCAGCCTGTACAAAGCAATGACAGGCTGACAGCGAGCGCAGCTGGCCACCTATGCTTTGAGGTATTTGCATACAGATTGATTTCCTGTGGTTAGATGCAGATGATTGCCTCTGGATGCAACCAGCTTTCATCCAGGGGCGATAATCTGCCTCTACCTGCAGGAAATCGCTCCATGTGCGATTACCTCTGAACACGGTGGCCAGCTGCGGCTGTTGTTGGCCTGTCATTGCTTTGTACTGCTGAGTAGCTGCAGCTGCCTACACTTGCTGTCGCAAGAATCTGGCTCTGGAGATAAATGTCTTGTGTAAATTATGTCTTGAGGTGGCCATACACTTTACAACCCTCGCAAGACTTTTGTCTTGTGAGGGTTGTAAAGTAATTTAAAAAACGTGTGATCTGCCCATCTTGGACAGGCAGATCGTACTTGCAATCATCGCAAGCCCGCCCCCCTGAGGGGCGGGCTTCCGATGA